ATGTAAGTGAACAACTCCAATACATTTTCTAAAAACTACAAATAAACTTCTGGTTATGGAACATCAATAGTAAGAACTTGATGAAGAAACGTCGAATTAGACCACCATTCTATCATCATTTTTATTTCTCTCAGTTCTACAAAGAGAAATAAAGATGACAATTTTTAGGTTTAAGCTCATTTATGAGATTTTGTGGTTGATGACGTACAGATATTGTTTTTTTTGCAATCGTTTGACTTCAGATAAGAAAGCAGCAAAGAAGACTAATTCTGCATTATATTTCTTAATCTAAAACTTGTTCAACTATTCTCTTCAATATTAATTGAAGTACAAGGCTTACCACAAAGGGAGGACACCACCAGAAAGGTTTGGATTTGAACCTAACTGCAATTCAAGCATTCCGGTGAAAGTTTTGTAGATCTGCTCGAACAATACGATATTTAGCTGTCATATTCAAACTCTGACAGTGTGAAGAATTTTTCGAAAAGCAAGGAGGCATATTGGTTAATTTGAACATGAAATCAATTCAAGTGCGAATTCAATTATGATCATGATTTATAGTAAAATAGATGATTTTTCTGTAACATTGGACGTTATTGTTGCTGTACATTGCAAAAGGTACGCGTCAACTAATCAGCTGATCGAAATTAGAAAGAAACTGTGAAGTAGACAGTGTGAAAATCAATACTAAAAGAACTGTTTTAATAGATATAAGCATGACTTTCAAGAATACTTTTGATTGAACGATTGATTCTCATTCTCTCTCTGGTCCATTAAATATCATCAGCCGTACTCACATCTGTTTAAGCTGAAAGCAAAGAGAGTGATGATTAACTTTTGTTATAGAAAATAGAGAGTCATATTAAAGATCACAAAGTAAATATTCTCGATTCAATCATGAGATTCTATTCTTGTGTTCGAACGAATATTTTCTGACTATTACTTTTTGAAAACAGCATGACAAAAAAATGGCAAATTCTGATGCCAACATCGAAAGAGAATGAAAGGAAAAAAACATCCGAAGGACTGCATTAACTAGTCAGTCAATGCACCGGTTTGCTTTTTTTAGCAAACTTTATTTTTCTCATAACCATTGGTCTCAATCATTATTAAAGATCACTCCAAAATATTTATTATTGTGATTCTCGGGTAGAAGTAATTATTCAAACATTTTTTCGATCCATTAACAAATAAATCTTTGCTGGTTGGGTGGGTGTAGGTACCTTCTTCTGTTTCACACCTACATCTCATACCCGCACCACACACCCTAGGTAATTCATTTGAAGTCATTATGAGTTTAGTAGTTCTTTGACAGATGAATCGCTTTTCAGAGTAAAAGAAAATGCAGATATTTATCTATTTCAATTTGAACTTGTCTCAATGGATCATGGATTTTTGTGACAAGATCGACAACGGTGTCAAAAAAATATAGTAAAAGCCCATGATTTCGCTCAACATCCCTTAGCAAAACAATGGGTAATGCATTGATCTATATCGATGGCAGACATTTGAAAGAATGCACATAACTTTTCTTTTCCATGTAGCATTTTATTTCGAAACAAGAGTGTAAACATGGATGCATGCCTTTCGTTAACCTACACTCAGTTCACTCCCTAAATCAAATGAAAAGAGTAATCAATTAGATCAGACCCATTTTTAGTCATTAAACAAAAACATGCACAAAACTTAGTATTTTTCTATCGCATCGATCACAATTTGATTAATTCATACATGTTAATATCCACGTTATTATCGTACATGCCTTCACAATTCGATGTTGTTTATTCAGGATTTGGCACCAATTGCAAACGCCAGCCATATTTGTTGATCAGCTCTGATAATTTTTCTGGATGACCGAACCTATGAGAAAAGTCATAAAAAGTCGACCAGTATCCGTTAAATGTTCTCGAGCATCTTTTAAATATGCATCACAAAGTACATTGCCTGAATCGAAAACCGTACGTTCAAGTGTATTGAGTTTTTCCATGAGTTTGTCAATATGACTTAATGGTATATCCCAAAAAATAACATCAAATTGATCATTTTTATCAAATGGTTCAAAACCACTACCATAAACAGCTCGCATTTGATCTCCTAAATTATACTTTTCAATGCTAGCCTGAATATTATTCACAGCATCTTCTGTTCTATCAGTAGCTGTGACACGATTAGCACCATTAAGAGCAGCAAGAATAGCCAAATAACCAGCTCCACAACCAATTTCCAATACTGATTCAGGTTTTATTGTTCGAATGAGATGAAGCCATGTTTTGACAATAGTATCGTATAGAGGAAATACTGCAAGACTGAAAACATTGGGATAAACAATAAATTCGTGATCAGCAACTTTAATCATGTGTTTATCATTATAAGTACGAGCAATATCGAGTTGAACATGAACGCAACCCTCACGTACATATTGATTTTCTTCTAATGTACCCATGGATTTTTGGTTTTTGATTTTCGAATAAGATATTGCAATTAGATGCAAAAGACAATAAACAAAAGACTAAGACTCACCTTATATCCTAGCAATATGAAAAATATTTAGCAGTAAAATCTATAAAATAAAAATATGAAATAATATTTGTCATGTTTTGTATGAAACAATATCAAGGTAGAAAAAAAAATGATTCGTTTTTTTGTCATCGAAACTCACTTCCATCACGAAAGAAAGACTTATCGATAAAGAAAAAGACAATATTATATTTTTAGTTTTTGTCACCTACTTTCAGAAATCGTCATTATTGCGAAGATATGTAAAACAAAAAAAAGCTTGTTAGTGCAGCTTCTTCGGAGCTGAAATGCGGTACTCACATATTTTCTTTATTTCTTTTCTCATGATAGTCAATAGCTAGCAAATGCTGTCTTTTTTATTTCTATATTTCGAACAGAAAGATTTTCCTTTTGTTTTTGGTGGAGTTACTATGGTCTGTAATGGACAAGGTGGAGAAGAGGAGGAAACCGCCAAAACTTGAACTTAAAGCTTACATTTACCATTTTTTTCAAAAATATATGTGAGTTCCACAAAAAGCCTCACTTCTCTACACGATGATGAGATCTTATGAAATTCTTCTTCATAATCCTGCTAATAAAACAATCATTATAAAGCGAATATTTACTGAAAACAATCACTATACATATATGCTGCTGGAAATTAATTATGTGTGACAATATTCATAAGGACCTTGACATCTTTCATTGAATGATTGACATTCAATGGTGATGCTTATAAAGTAATTGAAGTGATCATTGTTAACTTACAATGAACTATGAGCTAGAGCAAATAATTCAATGATTGAAAACTTAATAAGAAATTTCATTGTGATAAAATTAGGTAAGATATATTACAGTAATCGACTATCGATCAAGATATCTTTGATAATGAATGCGCCAGGTTGAATAGCCGCACTTTGCATTTCATTGTTCATTCATTAAATATATTGTTTTAAAACTAATTACATTACAAGATGTAGCGTGAAAAGCTGTATCATCTACACACTGAAGCTAATTTTGAATTGTGCATTTATTTCTTTCGGAAAAAAAGTAAGATTTGAGGCGACCACTGTCTCAACTGTTGAAATCTGATCACTCAGAATTTTGTTCCTTACGAAAACAAAAGATGAAACTATTAAATAAATTGTCTATCGTAAATTGTAGAGCATTTTACGCTGCGTCTTGTTGTATGCTTTGTTTTTTCAATACAATATACATTGAGTTCAGGAAAACTGAAATATAAAGTGCGTTCATTTAACCTGGCGCACCTGTTCTATTACTTTCTCTAATCAAAGATATTTAACAACAAAATCATTTAAAAATTATCATTCCGAAACATGTCTAATTTCACGAATCAATGCAAGCACTTCATCAACTTTATGACTCGACCATGAACGCGTTTCAAGCAAGTATGAATTACTGTCCCAGACAAACATACAGTCATTGTCTGTATTCGCGGAAAAACGATTTTATAAGAGAAAATGTCAATCATTATATTTCACTAGATAGTTGCTTCACTGAAAAGCAACCAACCAGAACAGATAAGGATGAAACAAAAAGAATGATTTGAATTAAATGTCTACAAAGTTATTTCGCATTAAACGACAAAATATAAAAAACGTTTTGAAGCGTCTTTCTTACAATACCACACAGCAGTAATTTGAGAAGTCTCGATATGTTATTTGTAGTTATAAGCTACTTGAAGAGTGCATTCGCATATATCATAGTAATATTTTTTATTTGTGTTTTTTTTTCTGAGTGAAGTAGTACGCCTGTAAACAGCCAATCAGCTCGATCAACGTGCGAGTACCTCTCTCTTTTTAGTGTAACATTGAATAAATTTAGGTCATTCATTCGGTACTAGTATAATTCGTCGCAGGACAGCTCGTCGCAAGACAATTCGTAGAGTTTTTCTTCAGAATCTTAACACTCTTTCTTCAGAATACAATTCTTTTTTTCAAAAATATAATAGAGATATCAATATAAAGTTTATTTTAAACATTAATTAAAAATTTAAAGCTTCATTTTAAATAAAATTCTACGTAGATAAGTTAGAAATAAAGTTCATTTTTTTTCTGTTAAAATTTAGCTTTCTATTTTGAAGAAAAATTTAAAATTTAAAACAAAAATATAAAATCGAAAAACATATTTTTATAAATTTAAATTTAAAAAATTAAAGTTTTTTTTTAATGAAAAGTTAAATTTTAATTGAAAAAAATGAACTTTATTTGTAACTTATCTACGTAGAATTCTATTGAAAATGAAATTTCAAATTTTTTAATTAAAGTTTAAAATAAACTTTATATTTATATTATATTTTCGAAAAAAAGAATTGTATTCTAAAGAAAGAGTCCTAAGTGTCTTAAGAAAAACTTCTATTAAGGTTATTGATTAAATAAAATTCTAAACTAAATCACTTAATTCAATTAATGTATTTTCTAATATATATCCGACGAATTATACTAGTACCATTCATCACGGTCACAGCCACATCCCCACCTCATACTCGCACTTTCGAGAAATCTAGCTAATTGACAAAAAGAAAAGATTTTTTCTCCAGATCCTTTTCAAGAGATTGTATATACAGTAAATAGTTTGACGCAGCAATTTGAGGACAGTTGAATACATATATAACATTAATATATTTATATTTCACACTGATGTCTGAACGAGCATATTCATATGTATCTGATCGCGAACTGAATATATTCATGTTTGCTGTTAGTTGATATTACTAGTCTAAGAAAACACCAGTTAGACAGCCGCACGAAGGACCGCATCCCACACCTTCATATCAAGATATACTTGATCAGCATTAGCGAATAATATATCTAACAGTTTATGTTGACAAGTGATAAATGGAACCTCAAATAGTTTCTTTCGTACAAACTATATTACATATGAAGAGAAAGGTTGATTTGGCCTTGTTCAGGACAAAAAATTAATTATATTAATCTAAAGTATCTTCTTTGGTACTCAAAAATTATTCATACCCATTAGAGTTGGAGATATTAGTAAAAATTGATTTATTTTTCTCTTATAAGGTAACTATTTTTCATCTCATGTTATTATTTGTAACCGTTTTCATATGTGTACATACATTGTAACTATTTCAATCAAATGATACATTACAATTTTCTTCTATTTCAACATATTTATTCTACACAAAATCAAATTTATTTAAGTAACAAATGAAAATAATCATAATATATGGCTCTTTTTATCAAGAAAATAATTTTTGAAATGTTTTGGAAACTGACGAATTCTTTCAATACATATATATGTCACTTTTCCACAATTAATTCGTGTTGCTTTTCGTGTAAATTTGTGTGTTACTCTTTTTAAAGATTTATAATCAGTAAAAACAATAACACCATATGGTAAATACGTTTTGGTATCAAGTAGAAATTGTTCAACATAATCATCATGAGTTTTTTTAAAAATAAGGTATTTCAGATGAGGATACCGAATAATTAAGAAATTTTGATTGTTATTTTTTGATCTTTGACATTGTTTATTATTTTGTGATTGTCCATTAGCAACAGTTAATTTTTTCATAAATGGAAATGACTGAGCGATTTGAAAAAAAATTCATATTCAAAAGGACGTTCATCAAATAATGATACTTCACTAACACATGTAAATAAACCACCTGGAAAATTATTTGCAATATTTGGATAATTTCGTATTGTAAATGGGTATGAATAGACATGACATTGACCTTTTTTCACTTCTGAAAAATAATTAACACAAGAAATAATTTGAATATCTGAAAAATGTTTGAATGAATGTTGAATATCTTCATTTGATGGCAAATAAATTTGATCTTCTAGCAATATAGTTGAACAAATATTTAAATGAAATTTATTTAATTGTGGCATGTAATCAGTAATGTTCTGCTTTAAATCATTTCCGTCAATAAATCTATCTTTACTATTGACCAACAAATACAAACCAAGTTGTTCTAAATTTGACATTCGCTGTAACAGTAGTATGATTCTTCTATCATACAAATTTATTTCCGAAAAACAATACAACGAAAAATATCGTAAACTCGGTAATTTTTCCTAAAACAGATCAAATAGATATTGGTGACGTTTAATAAAAACATACCTTATTTTTTTTACACCCGGACGTGAAAATCCATATAGTATATCAACATAAAATGTCCGAAGTTGATTGAAACGACCATCAAGTAAATAAAGACAATCATCAAAGGAATCTACTTTGACATGCAATTCTAATAAAGTTGAAGAAAACATAACTGGAGGTGAATACACGAATGACATTCGTTGATCATAAAAAAGCAATGAATCAAACTTAAAATATTGTAAATTGATTAAGGTATTAAAGATATGTGTGAACAGATGTATATTTACATCTCTTGATGTTTCTTGTTTGTCAACAGATTTAATCGCGAGTGATGAGATTTTATTTTTGAATCTTTGCACTAAAGGAGTCCCGTCTAAATATAAATGAAACGTGTAATAATCTAACTAGTTGTATGAAGAATTTATTTGAAATAAATATTTTGAATTGTTATTTATTCTAATCTATTAATTATTAAAAGAATTAAAATAGCAATATCTTACCTTTAAAGAGATGTATATCATTCTCTGTTTCAATATTATATATACCAAGTCCAAATAAATTCGGATAAATTGCAGAAAGAAAAATACGTTTCATAGATGATGCTTCAATATCAAGCCATTTGATTTTATGATGAATTTCAGGTAAGATTTGGAAACAAAATCGATCAAGCATTGAATCAGATAGTCGATAAATATAATCATACAACAGATGATGGAATAATGTCAAACTACTAGTAAACATAGAATCGTGTGCAATTTTATTAAGTCGTTTATTAACACCAATGAGAGAGTAAAGTACATCGAGTTTTTCTAATTTTTTGAAAATAATCAAAAGAATTTCATCGGATAAATCATTCAATTGAACAAGTGAATATTCCATGTTGATCTATATGTATATCTATTTTTTCTTAGCTTAACAATAGCAATACTGGAACGTGTCTATTTATAATCATCATTCTATGTGACCGATATAGTCAATAAAAACAATGATACCTGTTTTTTTTCTATTGTCTTATGATGTAAATACAGAATGAATAAATGACATTATTTCTCATTGAGATATCGATGGCGTAGGATAAGGTTTTATTTTCTCTCTCTCACTCTTCACTTCTTTTTTCTATAGCAACACAAACGCATCGATAATCCATATTAAAGGTTTTTTCATTCATGGTGAGAAGACGAGTTTTCTTTTATTGATTGTTGATACATATACCATCTCTTAACATTCTTTTAGATTATCGGAAAGGAGGGTTGTTGTACGAAATCAGAAAAAATAAAGTTCTTATTTACCATAGAGAATCATTCATTTAATTTCATTATAATAAAAAGTATAAACGAGTCAAAGCGTGGTTTTTTATCGATGTCATCTTAAAAAAATCATTAAGAAAAAAACGATCGAATATAATTCTTTATTTGATTGATAAGAAAACAAAATTTCATTTTCTTCTATTGTTTTGAATAAAAAAGAAAGTTCACTATATAAAAAAGTCGTCAGACAAGAGTCGTTCTATACAAAATTAAAGTGGTAATAGCATGTTCTAGAACTTGTTTTATATTTCAATCGATAGAAATTCTATTCAAATAAGATTTTCTTGTCTTATTTTTATTCATAAAATAAATATCTAAAAAATAGTTTTTAAACAGTTTCATGTTTTGTTTTTAATTTCTTGAAGTAAAATTATATTCATTAGGCAGTTGTTGAATATATGGATTCATGTTTGATGCACTTGTGAATATACAACCGACAAATACATGAGTTCCTATAATAAAATTCATTTATTGTTTTTCTTTAATAAAGTTTTTTACCATGTTGTAAATGTTCAATAACTCGACAACAACCTAAATCAACAATATTAATTCGAAAATATCGAAAATGCTCATCAGTTTTAAATAATGTATCTGATTTTGATGATCCATAATAAGGTTGTTCATTCGATGGATCAATACAATCTATCCAATATTGTTTTCTACTCAAATCAATACGTATATTCTGAGTTATTTTATTAAATTATTCTGTTAATTTTTTTTCGTTCATTTTCAACTTCTACTGATCATGTTGACATATCAAAATTTGTTTTAAATATTATTATTATAGCTGTTAATGGTTCTACTAAAACATCATAATTTAAAAATAAATGTTGTAATTCAGATCTTAATGATAATGGACAATCATATGTATGAATTTCTAATTTTGATAAAAATTCTTTTGTATTTTTTATTAAATATTTTTCCTGAAAATAATTAGAATTAAGTTTAGATATCGATTTTGTTTCATAACAAAATTGAATATGTCCTAATAATGGGAAATATGAATTATATTTATGAATATCTAATTTATTAACAAGATGAGATTTAAAGTCAAATGAGATATTAATGAATTAGAGAAAAAATAATAATAATCGAGAACGAATAAACCGATCCGTTTTGATCTAAAAATGTAATTCTCTATCGTATTTCTTACAGTCCCAATTTCTATGTATCTTCTAAATGAATAAATAAATAAATTCTTTTTTTCTTAAATAGAACAAGTTGTTGTTTAAAGTTCTATTTGAAAATATTATTTTGTTCAGTTATATTGCTGTGTGCATTGACGTTATTTACGTGAATAATGAATTATTTAATTGCCTATTTATCTTCCTTCTTTGGCATTTGCTAATTCATTGTCGTAATAATTTGATATTTCTTCTTTTATTTTACGAACAAGTGAACCAACAATGTCTAATTTTAAACTGCTAAAAAAATTGGTATTTAATTATTATTCTATTGCACTAACATACCCATCTTCATTAAGATAATTTTGTTTCTCCAAAAAGAATTCATGTGCATGATGTTTACTACACCAAAAAATAAAAACTTATGAAATTAAGTCACGGATTTGCAGGAGGTGGAAAAATTACCATATTCACTTGCAAATGTTTATTATTGCTCTCAAATGTACAATGAATATTTATTTCGATGTTTTCATATTCAATAATAATAACCCCGAGTCCTTGTATTGCATTTTTCCAATCAATTAATTCATTCACTTGAAAAAAAACTATTAATAAAATATTTTGCAACGGAATTTTGTTACTTATCCATTGTTATGTTTAACCAAAAAGTATCTTTGAAGCATATACCAATGGAAAACCGAAAGCAATTTACTGTCAAGATATTTTTTGCCATGATAATGTATCAGAATTTCAAGAAGTGGAAAATCTTTATTCATTTTCTACAACAAAGATTGGAAAAAAATTTTGTTCTCTATCGATTCGAAGAATAAATGAAGCTGAAAGTATTGTTGATGTTAAATCAAATTTATTATTAAGAACTTTTATTTTTAGTGATGAATCAATTTCAATGGAAGATTTAAATTCAATATTCGAGATAAACAAATCATATCCTAAAGAAACTTTTTTCGATTAAGAAAATCTTTTTTTTTATGTCATTTACCGCAATACTTTCCAATTCAGTTTGTTCACTTAATCTTCCATAAATAAAAAAAACAACTGGTCACGATGTTAAGTGGGATAGACTTTAGGCCTTGGTACTGTCATTCCTTATCTTTTCTATCAATGACCTCGATCGATAGATATCTTTTCTTACCTTTGTTTTTTTCGTTTATTCGAGGACATCGAAATGTTCCACTTTATTATTATGTGTTTTGCTGGCTATGTACGAATTGCGGACAAAAATTAAGCCAATTAACACATCAGTGTCCGCAATTTGGAAAAGAAAATTTATGTTCATCTCTTTTTTTTTTCGTTTCCAAATTGCGGACATTTTGATTTAATTAATCGATTATTGAAAGATTAATTATTAGTCTGTTCTTTGATCAACACATAATATATATGTATCATGAGCGCAAAAGAATCACACTACATATCAAAAAATGAGGATGTGGGTGTGGGTGTGGGTATGGGTGTGGGTGTGGGTGTGGGTGTGGGGTGTGGGTGTGGGTGGTAGTCTTCTCTTTATCAACACCCACACCCACACCCACACCCACACTACGATCAATTTCTCATCGTTATATTCACATTATCAAAGATGCTAAAGACAGTAGTGACGAGGAATAATTTTTTTTTTATTTATTTATTTTTGTTCTCAATAAATATTGTTCTTAATTAATACTGTTAATTACTCGATAAGAAAAAAATATCCGCAATTTGGAGTCGAGAAAAAAAAGAGATGAACATAAATTCTCGTTTCCAAATTGCGGACACTGATGTGTTAATTGGCTTAATTTTTGTCCGCAATTTGGAAGCTACGGTTTTGCTATATATTGTTTGCGTGTTCTCTCCTTTCTTTTATCGTCTTCTCTCTCCTCTTTTCTTGATCGATATGTAAAGCGGTGTATTTATGTTTTATGATGATTTTTTTTCAAATATAACATTATTCTGCAAAACGGTTTTGTCACTTTGCTCAAAGAACTTGAGAGAATAGAGAGCGAAGCTTGACACATGAAACAATATAAATAAATAATTGTCTATGCGAATTAATAACACCTAGTTAAAATTTTCTATCAAAATCAGAACTATTGATTAAGAGAAATAAGAGAGAGAATGTCTTCTGAAAGTTATATATGTTAGGAAAAAAGATTTTTTTGGTTTTCTACATTCTTCTATTGAACAATTCTATTATCGACTCATTGAAAAATGAATGTTGTCTCAACAAATAATCTTTATTACTGAGAAATAAATATCATTGTTCCAATAAATGAAATTCATGTTCATCAAAATACATGATGACTAAGAGTCGTTTATTTAGAAAAGTATCAAAATCTTTATAGAGGCATGTGTCGTTTATTAGATGAGAATAACAAATATTTATATCGATAATAGTTTCTCATACATTTTCATTTTTGTCATTATTTTTTTATTTTTCTTCTTATTGCCTCACTGTTTTCTTGTCAGCGAGTGGTGAATCAAATATGATTTTATTACTTTCGATCCAAAGAAAAAGCACAACTTATCCCAGGTAGACTCACCCTGCCGGATCCGTGATTATCCGACACTTTCCGACAGTCGGAAACCTTCATTATCCGTTAATTTCTGACGTCGGACATTGTCGAATTCCGGCGACATGATTCGATGAGATCCAATAGTCAGAAATTGTCGGATTCAATGAAAACCGACGACATTCGATAGGTGGAAATCGTCGGATCCGATGAAATCCGATGACATGAAAGCATCTAATTTTGCATATTCTAATTTTTTATTTTTAGATTATTTTCAACGATAAATCAAAAAAAGTAAGTATTTATTTATTAAAATAATTTTTATTCTTTGTTTTAGATTGTTTACAACGATAAATCAAACAGTAGGTATTTGTTTATTTATATTACTTTTATTTTTTATTTTAGATTATTTACAACGATAAATCAAAAAAAGTAAGTATTTATTTATTAAAATAATTTATATTTTTTATTTGTAGATTATTTTCAAGGATACATCAAAAAGTAGGTATTAATGTATTTAAATAATTTTTGTTTTTTATTTTAGATTATTTACAACGTTAAATCGAATGGGATAACACTGATTAGTCTGATTGGATGACTGGATTCCTGTTTTATCATACTGTTGCTATAATGTATCAGGTACCTATGATTTTTTTACCAGTTATAGTACTCGCATGGTGCCATAGAAGTACTATAACTGATAAAAAAAGCATGTTTATCTGATACATTATAGCAACAGTATGATAAAACAGGAATTCAGCCATCCAATCAGACTAATCAGCTCAATATATATTAAGTATTGAAAAATAAAAAGCTAATGAGTGCAGCATGAGTGCTGCACGTAATATCTGGTTTATTTATAGAAATCTAGTAGGATCCTGTCGGATCCTGTACTTTCCAAGATTTTCCGACGGGATCCGGGACCCAGAATACTCGTCCTGGGTATACTTTAAGTTATTGTCGAACCCCTATTGTTATTGAGTATTATTTACATAAAAAAAATATATACAACGTAAATCAAAAATCAAAACACATTAATCTTGATAGACAAGATAAAATGTAAATAAATGATAAATTGTTCGTGATTATTCTCATGTCTACATTGCAATAGAGGTATTGTTCCCGTGTTACTATCACAATCATAAACCAAAAGTATGAATATGAATTCCATCTAAGATTTTGATTGTTGTCGTATTGTATTATTGTTAAGTTTCGATGATATTCTTTGAATATGTTGTTCAATACGAATAACATCTGGATGTATGTAAGATAACACTTGTCGATAGATAACACCTGTTTTATCATAATAAGATAAAGCTTCTTCTAATTGATCTTTTTGTTCATATATAAGACCAAGTCCACAATAGCTAACAGCAATTTCTGGATGTAATGGGTGAAGTGCATTTTGTAAAATTTTAAGTGACATATTATAATGTTCTATTGCTAAATCATATTGACCAAGACATAAATAAATAATAGCAATATTATTATGTGATATACCTAAGTCTGGTTGATCAATAGACAAATTTTTTTGACGAATTGCTAATGCTTTTTGATGACATTCAAGTGCATCAATATAATTCTCTTGTTTTTGATAAATTCCACCCAAATTTGTATAACAAATAGCTACATTTGAATGATTTTCATCATTAGCTTCTATAGTAATTATTAATGCTTGATAGTATGATGAAAATGCTTGTTCATAATCAGATTTTTGAAAATAAATTCGACCAATATTATTATAACTATCAGCAATACTTAAATCATTTTCTTTTAATATTTTTAGTTTAGTTTCTAACGATTTTTTATGCAATTTGAGACTTAAATCCAACATATTTTTTTCCATTGCTATACATCCTAATGAATAATAACAATCAGCAATTATTGGATAATTATCAGATAATTCATTAATTAAACGTGTAAAAAATTTTTCGGCTTCATTTATTTTATTCATTTTTCTTAAGAAATTTCCAAAAGCAAGTATATTGATTTTTTCATTTGTTTTAAAAGAACGAAAAATTTTATTTAATTGTTGATCATTATCTGGACATAATGATAATCGTATAATCCATAGTCCATCTGATTGGCGATGAATATTAATTATACGAAAAATAGAACCGCATGTAAATAAAACTTCTTCTATTTGTTGAAAGTAACTATTAGATTTGATAAAACCAAATGGTTTTGTTGAATTACAAGATGGATTAGCATCAATTTCGAATAGAACTCGTTCAAGGTCAGTTGAAGATGATGATTGATTAAGAAAGAATATAGCTAAATCACGAGAAACAGTTGTTGACAAAAATGAATTCATTGAAATTAAACGACCAAGAGAATTTTTTAACGATGTCATTTCTTCTTTGGTTATTAATTGACTTCGATAAACTTGAATTGGTGACGTAAATTGATTCTGTATGATTTCTTGTCGCATATCATGAATAAAAAATCGAAAAAGAAATAGTAAATCGATATTTTGTGTTCGAAGAGCTTCATTCAATATTCGATAAATAAAAGAATCTTTCATATACCAAGAAAGTGCTTTATCTGATGAATAATTCTCTTGAAATTCTTGTATAAGTTTTAATTCATTATGAATTCCGTTATATTTTTCTTTACATTGAAGAATTAATTTATTTTTCTCAGTCTTCATTGGTTTTAATTGAAGAAGAGTATCAATTAATAATTGTGAATAAATAAATTGATCGTTAAAAATATTATTTGATTGTTCATGATATGCATTCGTTTGAAAAAGACTTATTGATAATGGTTCATTCACTTGATTTTGACATCGTTTTGAACGTTCAAATCGAATTTTATCAATTAATTGATTAAATTGTGTAACAATATCTTTGACCTTGAATAAAAAAAAATAATTAAAATAAATCTTTTACTTTTCTTTTATTTTTTATCATTATATTACTTTTTTGTATTGTTTAATCCATTTCTCATTTGTTGATTTACCTAAACAGTGAATATAAATTGAAGAAACTTGTCGAAGTTCATGAATACGTGGTATAATTTCTCGAGCTAATTTATCACTAACAATTAATATAATTCGTTCATCTTGTGATATTGATCGAATATATACTTCACATTTATTAACATTTTCAAATGCTTTTAAATGATCTATGGATGACCGAATTAATTTTTGACCATTTATATATTTCAGAGATGTATTCACCAAACTATCAAGCCATATAAGAGGATATGCATGAGAATTAGGATCTGCTTGTTTCACATATTTCATTGCTGCTCCTATTATTCGACGATACTTTTTCATCATTTTTTGTTTCAAGCAATGTCAAAGAATGTCAAATATTTTATTTGTTTGCAATATTCGATCAAATTAGTGATATATATATATCGAGGTAAATGGATATAGCGAAGTCACCCATGTGTATTATTTTTCGTTATTCTTTTTTTTGTTCTGTTTGTATAACTGAATACAACATGTTTAATTTCGCAGGCAAAAACGCAAGATTGTAAAATACCTGTGTACATACATGAATTGCTATGAAATAACATACGTAGGAATGCATGACATAGTTAACTATATTCGCATTTACATGCATGAAATTTAATGAATATTCGCACTTAATATTGCCGTTGCATGTAATGACATATGAATGATTCTCAAAAAAATGCACACATTTGCATACAAAGTGACTTTAGAATAGTCAAAAAAACACCGTGCATGTAATTTGTGGTTCATTATGAATCGCACTAAATGTCAATGTAATTTTTCTTTTACTCATCAATCATTTAAAAAAGTTACTCATTTATATAATAATAGATCGATAACTTGATGCTCTACCAAAGACCATACTTCAGTTTCAAAAAACAACTCTTCTATTTTACATAGAAATTAATAAACGAATGTAAATTATACATTTCTATTGCAACACTTGACCCGAACGAAAAATTATATCACATCGCTAGTATGACATTTACAAGGTTTCCAAATAAAAGAAAAAATGTCCATGAAATACTTTATCTTTTTGAGTATATCTCAAAATTTTGAACGAAAGCTTTAAGTAAAAAGCTAAGAAACGAAAATAAATGAAAAAAAAAAAAAACTTAATTTTACATCTATTTTGGAGTCTGTCTACTTTTTTGTAGGCCCAGCAAAAAGATATCACACTTCGATTCAATATTCAACAGTCTTCAACAGAGTAAGATTTTGTATGTTTCGATGCAAAAAATAAAGACTGTGCAATTGAACTTTAACGTAGAGAATTTAATTTTTTAAAATTCTTAAAAAATCACTATGAAGAATACTTATAATAGATTTTTAATTTCCTAGAAAAGCTTTAATATTCAAAAGTAAGTCACACGGATAGAGAAGAATATTCTCTTATGTTCTGATATAAAATTGCTTGCTTTAAAGATCCATTTTCATAATGCTGCCTGCTTTTAAAAAGTACGAATAACGATGCATCGCAGTTGAAACATACAGTGTACATCAATGTGTTGGTTGTTGTACAAAGAGAAAATTTTCTTTTTAAAATTGAAGTGTCGACTTTTGAAGAGCTTAAAATTCTCTATCTTTTGATTTTATGAAAGGTAAATGAGAGAAAAATTGCATGTATATTTACTGCAATTCATTATGATCCACCCGTTAGGTAACATACATGAGCATGCAGCATTCTTTTTTAGAGATAAACCTTGAACATATATTCTTTGTTTACGATTCGACCATCTAGTTACATAAGAAGTGCAATTAAAACTGAAGGTATAATGATCATCTGACACGTACTAGACACGTGTGAATATGAATACTATTACATCTTCCATAGATAAAAGTAATTTTCTTTTTTCTCTCTTCTTTATAATAATGTATATATTTCGATATCATTATATAGGTAAAAGAGTCAACTACATTTATATACGTATATCATGTTTTGTTGGCGTGTCCTTTTGTTTGATTTTGTATTTATTTTCTGATGACCTATTTTAGTGATACTGAGAGAACACCAACAGCACTTTAAAGAAAAAATAGCCTATTTAACGCTTAAAACTGTAAAATCTATGCGCTGAGAAATGCACAGTCTTGCATATTTTACTTAAAAACTTAAGAAACTATATTTCTATGTATGCATTATTGTCTTGCATTTATGCTTCATAATTGTAAATATTTGAAATATTTAATATATTCTTGATTGAAATACGACGGTTTGAAAAATATTTTGCAAGGAAACGTGAGTTTTTGAAGGTTTATTCCAAATATACGGGTTTTTTATGTTTTTATATTTAGTTGCGCAGTATTTGTTGACGCAATATAAATATGTGTCATTCAGTCTGCATTCCTTATTTCATCAAATATAGATGTTCAATGAAGCGGTACATTGTTTAGTCTTATTGTTTTATGCGACGGCAACGCTTCTTCGAAGATCAATCGGATTGGACCTGTCGGGATTTCTAGTTTTTGTACTATGTACTCTGTGTCTATGCTCATAACAATAGATGTTCGTCTTCCTGAAGTTTTCAGTTGTTCTTGAGAAAAAATAACATCTGGATGAAACACTGTTTGATCTGACTGTTGTATTTTATCCATCACTAACATTGAATGCACAATTATAGTTTGAAGTTGTGTTTATAATTATTTGTAAGAGGGAATACAAAGAAATAATTGAATAAGATGTTACATTTTCTATGTCATTTGTTTTACGTATTATAATGTTTATCAAAAGATAATATAATGAATCTAATGAATAATACTTCTACATATAGTTCGAATAAAGAAAAAAAAATAGTTTGAGAAATCGTAAACGAATATTTAGCAGTATTCAATTGAAATAAGTGAAGAATTCTGTTGATAAGATAAATATTAGCATGATTTATATTTCAGCCTTTTGATACATAAAATGAGCAACTTAGATGTCATTTCCATTTAAATATATCTAAATGTATGTTGTTTTGTGACTCGTTCTCGTAATATAAGAACTAAAGACATTCTTTATTATTTAATACTGATTATAAAAAAACAATGCACTAATGATATTAAATTAGATATTCTACAATACTTGTAGGTGAAAACAAGAATGTATGTCATTCAATTAAAAGAATATATTTAGAGCTTGCATCAGAAATATAAGAATATTTTATTTTCTTGAAATGTATTTTGAAGTAAAAAAAAAAGCCGTTTAAAAAATGCATTTTGCTGTTTTTTAACTATGCAACAACAAAAAATGCTCAATATGAACAAGTATAATGTAGACACGATTAATCATGAGTTATTCAAACAAGTTTTCATCGTTAATTTATTGAAGAGATATCAGATACAACAATGACTCATTTATTGTAAATTATCCATTAAATTCTAAATCATTATCGCCGAGTGGTTACGTTGTTCAACAAGTATTCAAAAGAAACTATGCTTCAACTTTAGTACTGCTATTCATGGAATGACCTTGGACAAATTACTAACGACTGTTTGTCTCAGACCATCCGTCCCATAGCAAGCTGACGACAGTGTGACATATAGCTGCTTTTGTGGTTAAGTTAGTATGTAGTAAGTTTAAGCAATTGAATGCGAGAACTCTGCGTTAAGCAGACCTTCTGTCCAGAGCTACAGCTGGTATTACTTGTAGAGAAGATATCGAGCTATTGAATCTGCAGCTAGACAGTACGTCATACTGCAAGATAGCTGAAAAGTAGAAGTATTCTTCCTTCATTTAATTTTTATAGTCACTATTCGCTTGCAAAACAATATTTTTGATTTGAAAAAGACAAAGATAATTTATCCTTTTAAGCTATTTCAAGTAACATCTACTGTAATTAAAATTCTACCAACTGTCCCTATTAACATATCAACATCAGTTAGAGGCAATAATTATTATATACAAGAAATAATATTCTTAACCAATAATGTTTCATTAACATCTCTTTCAATAATTAAATTAAAAATACATATTTTATTCATTCCAATAAATTACAAATTCCATCTAAGGATTCACATTGAGTTTCATTCAAATAAACATCTTTAAAAATTTTAAATCCAACTTTTTCATAAAATCTTATAGCACGTTGATTATGAGAAAAAACACCACCCCATAAAATTAAACGTTCTTTACCCATTTGTCGTGCAATTTTTTTGGTTTTTTCAAATAACCAACAACCTAAGTGACGATTTTGATATTGATCACTAATACATGGACCAAATCTTGCATCAGTTATTTCATTTAATACAATGTTATATTTTTCTGCAAAACGTTCATATTCTTTTTCAAGAATAGATAAACTAAATTCGAATAAAGCAATAATTGTTTCATTATTAATTAAAGCGACAAGACGTAATTTATCGTAACGATTTATTGCAAAGCATAGTTCACGAGCTTCATTAAGATCATAACTGTCACGTATTGAAAATTTACGTGTTTCAGGACTTAAGTTTTCTAAAAACTCAGCTAATTTTAATTCATCACTCCGTAATAATGGACGAAAGTGAATCAATATGCCTTCAAAATAATCAGAACTGCTAATAAATTCTGGATTTTGATCAATATCATCTAATGTAAGTGCCATCAATCTACAATCAATAGTATAAATCCTTCGATTCTGGATTTATTTAGTTTTTTGTATAAAATAGACAAATGAACAAGAATAACATTAACAGAACAAAAATAATAGTAATAAATTACACAAAAAAAAAAAAACATATACATATGTATGTTGTCAAGTGTAAATAGAAAAGTTGCTCGGATACAAAAGATTTTATCTATGAGATAAGAACTCACGATATATAATAATAACATAGAGTGCTGCACAAAATATAACAAGAATATCATCAAATAATCCAAGAAAACCAAGAACACTTTCTGGTAAAATATCTAATGGAGAAAGAACATATGCAATTACTGTAAAAAGTATTAATATAATTCGTAAACGATATGTCCAAGCTAAATTTTGAACAGTAAACATTTGTCGAATAATATGAGGAATTAACACAGGTATATCAGATATATATTCACGAAACTATCAAAATAAAGTATTGAAAAAAAAACAAATTAATTAATAAATAAAATAATTCTTACTGATCGTGGAGCACCAGAAAATCGTCGATTAAAATCTTGTACATCATTAAGTACCATTTCTCGAGCACCATTGTCAGTTGATGCTTCTTCATCAGCAGTAAAACATGTAAGTAGAACAGTGACCTAGAAATAAATTAAAACAATTTTCTCATCAATTGTCTAGCAATATGAATCTAATAGAATTGATTAAATATAATATTTTTTTTCTGCTTCATTTTTCGACATTAATTCAATTGCACATGTTGAAAGT